ATATATACATATATATATTTATATATATTTATATAATGTGTATATATACATATATATACATATATATAATATATTAAAATTATATATTAATTTATATTATCATTATACTTTTGCCTTTTCCCTGCAATACCCGCATTTCCCCAATAGATGGCGTAGAAATAGTCAAAATCATTTTTAGCATTTTAGCCTTAATGCATGACTTTTACATATCATTTATCTTTGTTCACAGGAACGCTCCATCTAGCTGCTCCTTCAAATTTTGGGACCTACTGTGGCCCGCCAGTCAAAAAGTTTGCCCACACGTGACTTAGAGCAAAGTCTGCATTGTACTCCTTGAAAAGACACTTGTTGTTAAAACTACTAAAATTTTTCTGACATTTTGTTGGGAAATATAGTATTTCAAAATGCATGTGCGAAGAGTGTGGTCTAGTGGGCCAGTGATCTGTCACTTCACCGATATAGCATGAGGTTGCATTTCTGATGTTAATTTTTTTTTTTTTGTATTAATATTTATGTTTTGCACATTCTCATCATTGCCAACGCGATATTTCCAAGACTTTTATTTTTCATTCACTTTTTAAATACCTAAAAAAAATCATTTACAATTTCAAAAAAGTTTCCAGGTTTTTCATTACTGTACAAACCCTGAAGAGACACACTACTAGTGACCAGCCCAGCAGCTCAGGAAAAATAACCTGCCATACCTGCAAAAGTGATTTATCAGCAAAGGCCATTATTCCTTCAAAGATAATAACACTGGCTCCATAAACGGTTTTCTGTGGGGAAAAGAGCATTTTCACCATTTTAGAATTATAATCTGGTGAACTTCAGTTTGTAACCACAGAGGCAATACAAAACATATCAGTAACAAACATGTAAGTTCCCCTTTTTTTTCTTTTTTTTTTTTTGGGGGTTGATAAGAAATAAAAAAATTTATAAAAAAATATTTAATAAAAGGGAGATTTCCATATTAACTGTAAACATCTGCTACTGAGTTGCAGTGAATATAAAAATTGAGAGAAATTGTGTGTGAATTCTTACCCACTCTTTTTGTCTACCGTGAGTTGTAAAGTCATACACAGGGATTTTCACGCTCTTGCCCTTTTTGAGTTTGCGAACGGTGTTCGTCAGCAGGTCAAAGTCAAAGGCATCAGGGTGGTCAAAATTGTAATCATTGCTGGCGGCCAGAGTTTGCTGCTCAGGGGTCAGGACCTGAGGACAAACAACACACCGGTATTAACAGGATAACAACAATCTTCTGAAGCACATTAGGTTATCCCACAATCTGCAGTCTTTCAACATGGCTAATAAACACTACGGAAATCCGGTGCCAACCCCCAAACATTGTTTAAGAGTCATTTTTAAGTCTTAAAGCTGCCAAGGAGTGTTAATGCTAACGTTGTGTCTAGAGAGGGGTTGTCAAACACACAGTCCGCTAGGGTGTTCAATCAGCTTCGTAAATTTAAAAAGAGAATCAAACCATCCCAAAAAACGAAATATTGTGCCTTTAAGGAAAGTATGCTTGAGTGATACATTTAGAACTTGTGATTTCAAATAATCTAAAACCCCCAATGACCATTCAACAGCACAACAATTCTTAAGCAACCTGACTGGCTAATTTCATTAGCACGTTAAAATGGATAATGAGTCGTTGACAACTTGTTTTGTTCATCACGGGTGGTTCACACACAGACCTTATAGAAAGAATCCATTGAGAGCAGGACGACCCAGGGAACATCTAGAGCCTCGATGATTTTCCTTGCAACGGTTGTTTTTCCTGAAGCACTGCCACCACAAAGACCTGTAAGAAAATATATGTAAAAGTGTTCAAAAGTGTGCCAACGATAGCTATGAATACATCGCAAGTATGAGTGTACTGACCCAGGATGGCTCGAGCCAATACTCAAGATCGGTATCAGTCCGATATCGGTCAAAATTTCAGGATCAAACAACGAAAAAAAAAAATACAACTAAAACCTGCGCTATATGTTTCCCAATAACTTTGCGCAACATGCCGTAAACAGGGACACTATCGCCGCTAGCAACGGCAGCCCACAGCACGCTGGAGGAGAGAAGAAGGTATCGGTATTGGCAGATACTCCCAGTTGCAGTATTGACACCTGAAGAACTCTTCCTACAAGGATTGCGTTCACAGCCCTAAGTCCACCCACACAAACGTATAGAGACACATGATTGCCTTTGAACAGCTAGCATCGCTGTAGCATCGCTGATAACCTCCGTAATTCTGTAAAGTAGCATCGCTGATAACCTCCGTAATTCCCCCCCCTGTGATCGGCTAGTAGTGTTTTTGCTCCTACCTGTAAACTCAGGAGCAAGATTTGAGAAACCACTTCAAAGAACAATTGTACATTTTGATGATGTTTCGCTTAATAACAAGCCTGGGAATTGTTAGAATTCAGTGGTTTACAATGTCATTGTCTTTCCTGCAGCAACGTATTGTTGGATGCCTTTGTAACTCCACGGGTGCAGGATTTGTTTGGGATACCTGGGGATCCATTTGTAATGAATAACAATTTGGAAATAAACAGATCAGGTCCCAGCTGGCTTCCTCCACTTCACGATGGAGGAACATTTAGGACAAGGGTCTCCAAGAGCCTGCCGTAAAACAGCAAAAGCTCTCAACTTTTCTTTAAAGCTTTTCTATAAAATGAATGGACTTTTTCGTAGGTAAACAATGTCAGGAGTATTGCGGACGAAGACAGGCGCGAGGCTTACTTTATGATTCGTTCTGTTATGGTTTCAAAGGTGGTAAGGAGATTTCATCATCCCATACAAGCAATGTAAACACGACACAATATTTAATAATCTGCTAAAGCTATGTTGAGGTTTTCCATACGTTACAAAAAGAGCTTACGTAACGTTAAATTGTGCTGGTGACAAGAATACCTTAGTTGTCTATAATAGAGGGGTTTTCCTCTTAAATTTAAAGTCACTAGATTGTCACAAAAGTCACTAAAAAGTCACAAAAAGTTGTTTACAGGAAAGACAGTGTTTGTCCTGTTTAGCATTTATTAGCATTTATTTCTCAATTGAAATGTGCCAAAGGTCAATGTCAATTTATAAAAAAACTGTAGCCCAAACATGTACCGTATAAGCCAAATGCAACCTTTGTCGGACAGGATTATCAAACGCAGAAGTTCAGAAGATATGAGACAAAAATAAACACAAAAATTCTAAATATAGATACTATTTCGTTTGATTGTAAGTATATGTGAATGTAATTACACCAAATGCTCACAAAACCAATATAATTAGGAACGTCCGATAATATCGGCCAACCGATATTAGCTTAATTATGCGATATCAGAAAGAATCATTATCGGTGTTTCCTCCGATTATGAAAACCCGATAACGCAGTAGCTGGGTTTTCAAGATGATGTGACCTAAAAATATGTGTTCTCTGCCTTTGAACACAAACTTCAGCACATATCGGTAACGGTTGATATCGAATATATCGAGTAATTGTAATATCAGCATATTGGATATTGACATCCCTAAATGTAATTTTTTTTTTTAAATTATTATTTTGTTACATTGAGCTCTGTAGATACATTCTTTTATTGCAATGCAATGTCCCCCAAAGGTCTTCACACCCACACCTCCAACCCTGCTGAAGGCTAAAGTCACCAGTGTATACTGACGGTTGTTTTAATTAGTCACACTGAACAAAGATGAAGAAAGGAGGAGAGGAGCATCAGGTAATAGCAGAGACAGAGAAAAGCACCAGCATGTGGTGACTAGTCACTGCAGTCACCACTAATGAGTCACTCACTACTGAACAGAGTTCCCTGGTTAGGTGTCTGAACTTAAGGTGGTTCAAGAGTATTTGTATTGATGAATGGTGCAAACACATAATGCCTTATGGGGCATTCACAACCTAACATGACAGTCACGACTTGAGCAGCAACTCTACATATGTGCATGTGAGGCACGACGAGTGCAAATGAGGCAGGTTTTACTCCCGTCTATCGCATTTGGTGTGGGAGATACTTCATTTCATACACTCCACAGCGCACGTGGAAACGAATTCCATACTACGGAGAGTAAAAATACACAAGGGGCGGAAAAAGCTTTCTGTGTGGGTAGCAGCATCAGGTAAGTGTGAAGGACGATACAAAGACCTCCTAGCTTGGCCTGGTGGATGGCAAGAAAAGTTCAACTTACTAGTGACTAGCCTACCTAATGGTGGTGGATTTGATGGATTTTTTTTTGTGGAGTCACCGGAATGAAATCGCTAAGAGAAGCCACAGGCAGGAAACTCAGTCCCAGCATATGTGTGAGTGTTCGTCAGAGCATGAACACCATTATCTCATCAGCCCTTGAGGTGTGTTCGTCAGAGCACGAACACCATTATCTCATCAGCCCTTGAGTGTTATTAGTGCTTGTGTTTCTGGCTTACGAAAAGCAACCGAGAGCAACGCGTGGAAGATAACAGACAGTGTTGTATGAATGCAAAGGTACAGTATATGCTACAGTAACTGACAAGAAAACTGTGTTATATTCATTACGGTAAAAAAATGTCACACCACAACAGTTGCAATTTTGTATCAATGATGTTTTCTCACCAATAACAAATGCTTCTTTGGACTGTGTTCCATGTTCATTGTACCAAGGTGGACGTCCAGCTGTATAGATGGTTCTTTTGGATGTACGAAGGAGGGGAGGCTCAGACTTGCACTGGCTAGTGGTCCTCTTCCTCGGCGTAAGACTTGCGCTCATTAAGGGGATGAGTCGATCTAGCTGTCCGTCACAACTGCCAACAACAAAGAGAGAAGATATATTTTCAACAAAAAAAAAAAAAAAAGGAGAGAAGATATATTTTCAAAAAAAAAAAAAAAAAAATCACGACATTCCATAGCAAGTGACAATAGGCCAAAAAAGCTTAAGCTGCTCCTGGAGATCAATAATTGTAATTTTAAAAAGAATAATGCTTACAGAATTAGTGATTAATATTCTAGATAATAAGATCAAGGACTATCTATTTAGAGATTGCCTCAAAATTGCATAAAAATGTTACTCGGACTACAATGCTTCATGATCATGATAGATATTTTGTTTGTTGTATTTTATTATTAATTTTTAATTATTATTTTTTCTTTACTCTAGTCTAAGATATGTAAACAGGTACATTTAAACATTCATTCTTTGTAATTAATGCCTTTTTTTAATACTTATACAATCAATTGTGAACCTAAAATAAGTATGATGAATCATCCCACCTTTGGAATTTCTCGTTAATTTCTATTTAAGATAACAATTAGTAAGTAAGTAATTATTATAAGTAGTTTATAATTATAACAATTAAAAAATATTTAGCGATTGCATTTAGAATGAACAAGAATCATTTTTAAAAAATATATATATATATACGTACATAGACATACACGTATATACATACAACACAACATAACAAACATGCATATTTTCACACTGATGCATAAATGAATGAACAGCGATGACTATTTTATCTCACATTTAGACTTTCTTTTTTCATTGACATGACATTTTAAAGTTCTTTCCCACTGACATATTGTAGGATACAAATGATGTGCATGCTATAGGCCAAAGACGTTCCTGTTATTTTGATTACAGCTGCACTCCATTTATCACAATAGACATGGTGTCACTCTGGCGTGGAAAACCTCCGACACAACTGCTATTGCAATTTTACTGCGCGCCCAGTTACTTAATTACAGATATTACATTGAAAAATATTTTCAGGAACCATAACAGGGTCCATGAGGATTTTAGACGTCCCTGGAAGACCGAGTCTGAGTAACGGTTCCATGGCTTTATCCTTAAATATATAATATTTTATCCTTAATTAATTTTCAGACATAATTCTCAGCTTTCAAAATAAGACACAAAACCTTAAATGGTGTCTGTCGCCATCAAGTGGCATTGCAGTGCAGTGCAGGAAAGGGACAACTTGAAATCAGTCATGGAAATCAACACAAAAAATGGTCCTGATAGGTAAAGCAGACTATTCAGTTTTCAGTGTAGTTGATCTTTATTATTTTTATTTTAACATTGAGCTCAGTTTAGGGCTGTTATTTGAGTATTTCGATTCATTATTATTTTTACTTTATTTTTTTCACTTTAGGCTGTAAAACCTGTCTCATTGACATTTATTATTATTCCACTGCTCAATAATATTTCATTCATTATTATATATATACGTGTGTGTATGTTTAAGTGTATATGTATTTATACATATACATGTACAAACGCTTGCTCAGAGAGTGATTTAATTTGGCTTCAATAATATTTTTAATTTATTCTGTTTGACTTAGTATAGTGAATACAGTTTAGGAAAACTTAGACAGCATAAAGATTTCTCCATTTTCACATGTTATTTTATTTTTAGGAGGTTCATTTTTAAATGTTCATTTAAATTTTAAAACAATTAAAACAAATGTGCTTTGTGAGTGTGGGCTATTTACATAAAATTGTGTTCCCAATACAACAGGAGGATAGTTCTGCACAACAGTAAACATAAAAATGACACACACCCGTTTGTAATCACGTGTTTTCCTGTTGACTGCTTTATCAGCTTACTTCAAGTTCCAAACATCGGTGGGTAACACACATGAACATTTGTAAAAACATCAAGGTTGACAGTTACTTTGCTTCTTCTTTTTTTTTTTAAACATACCATACCAGAGAATCACACGGGAGTAAATGCCTTTAGTACAAATGCAATGCACCAAAGCTGTGTTGAAACTAGAAGCCTGAGCCAGTTGCTATGTCAAGCATGCGGCCGTCCCTTTATAGCAAATGAAGCGCAGAGCAAGTTGCCAAACCTGGCCATAACATGTATAAACCTAATTGGTTAAGAAACCTGACAAAAAAATGTAAAAAGAGAAGAGTAGAACATATAAGCTCAAAACAACAAGAGCTAAATTCTAAATACTCACTGCCATTTTGTAAAAATGACGACCAATGCTATATTCAAATTATGTAACCAGACTTTCCTTTGTTGAAGTTGTGTTAACAGATGTGCTTCACAAACAAAAATGTAGGTATTAAAAGTTCATTCGAATTTTGGATCAATTATATAAACATGAGTTCGACTTTAAGTTTACTTTATGTTTTTTTACTTGAGGCTATAAAACCTGACTTATTAATATTTATTATTATTCCAATGATCAATAAGAATTAATTTAATTAATGGTTTGCGTATTTTTATTTGTAATTTACTGTCATTGGTCTTTCATAGAGAAATCATATTTTAACCATATAAATAAAGTTTGCAATAATTCATACAAATATATGTATGTGCATTTTTGCAGCTTAATTCCGGATCTGACCAATATTTATTTATTTCTGTTTTACCGTTTCTCTTTTATTGTGCAGTTTTCTTGCTTAAACCTAGAAAAAATGCTTAGTGATGTTATTATTATTATTATTACTATTATTATTGTTACTACTATTACTAAGTTATATCCTTTGACTTCATTGCATTATGTTTTGTTTTTTCTACGACTGTGCTGTACTTTGTAAAGATACATATCTTAAACTTGTGAGAGTAAACTGTGACTGTTTGGCAAGGACTAAAACGACATTGCTTTGTTGTCTCTCATATATTTCCGGTCAAATTTAAATTTTCACTGTATCATAAATTTACAATTTACGTCATCGGCCTGAATCTTTGCTACAAAATTATTTCTGAAATCTAGTTTTGACTCGTATTGTAACCCTATACGACCCTCCTCCTATTTGTCTGTGTGTGTACAAATAGGTAGTATAGGACCTTGAGTGCCATTACACCGACAACTACAATTTGTTGCACTTGTTTTACACATATATGGTCGAAATGTCACGCTTTGTGACTGGTCAACTTAGAAAAAGATTCTCAAACTCAACTATTTCATGTTTTAACATCGCACAAGGCGTGTCGACGTGTCCTACAGTGGGTTACGGAATCAGCCAGCTAATTTGAAACAGTTTACCTTGTGGACAAATGCGTGTTTTTCTCTCTGTTTTCCATCTCTGCGACTCTTCCTTCCTTCTTAACGGCAGACATTACAATTCTGTTGCCAGTCAGGTGTCGGTTTAGTATGGGGCTTGTAGTCATATCACATGTCAGCGCAGAGATACTCCTCAGGGCATGGCTCCGTTTTGGACTACATTACCCAGAATGCACTAGCCCAACTCAAGCGGGTTTTTTTTTCATGAAAGGTTCTTTCCAAAATTAAAGGCGTATATTGAATGCCTAAATTCATATGTTTTGAATAATTTGTACTTTTAATTATTTGGTTAAATTAGAGATAAAAAAAAATAGTACTATCTAATTTTTGGACGTCAGCATTACCATAAAATTTATAATAATTGATGTTTCCTGAAATGTTTTAGGTTTACATTATGTTTTAGCTTTTAAGCTATTTCTAACTAACTAACTAAGCATACTTTAGGTGTTTTATGCTTTTCACACGCATTTGGTGTTATTATTGGTTACATTTATCAAATATATTATTATAATATGGAACATCTTTGTCATACATGCCAAAAGACATGGATGGTAGCTGACCTTTGCACAGGAAAGCTCTGTTATGAAAAATTTAAGTACAATTGCTGATGTTTTGTTTGTCTTAAATATTTTTTTTAACTTACCATAAACCATATATTCCGCTGTTAATTATGATTTGTCATTTGCGTACACAATTAAACGTATTTATTATTATTATTTATTTGTACATATGTAATATGTTTAGCACTATCCAGGCACACCACAAAATACTTGACACATATAGTCAACAAACTTTTATTAATTAGCTTAAAGATACTAATGCACAGGTAATACAACACACTTGGGAGAAATTTTTTTAACTTTTCCGACTCAAAGATGTATCGATGCCTTCCGAGTTAGATACCATAAAGCCATATTTTGCATGGTACTCACATATATTATAATCAGCTAAAAGCTGCAACATCATCTCCTAAAAAGCAGAAAACACATTTCTGTTGCCTTGAAGAAGGTCTTATAGCATACAAAATAAACAAGTTACCCAAGAAACTGCTTGACAACTCTCAAATGAGATTTGTTTTAAGGACTTGATGGGGAAAAAAACAATAAGGAAGGGAAGTTGTGTAGGCCTGTTACGTCCCCCTGGTACATGGGTCACACCACTAATTGTCCTTTTAAACAAATATGCTTCAACAACAGCCTTTTTAAATGTGTACAGATTGCACTAAAATTCAGAAATGAACACAAGTACATGTACCTTGTCTCAAAGTGATAACATAATAACCACTTTCTTAATTTGACATTGTGTACTGAAAATGTATATGTCTTATGGCAATTGTCAAAACATAACTGTAGAGCTGCCTAGAATGGTGTAGTTTTGTTTTCTTTCCTTTTTTCTGTCAAGCTTTTTTTTTAACCTGGTACAATGCAACAAGCATTTTCAAAGGAGTAACAACAAAAGTAGTGAAAAAGGCTGCACGTTAAAAAAAAAAAAAGACATTGTGATATCAAAATCTTAGAGGGCAAAAATCTGCTAAATATTGTGTATTGCTTTACTCTCTAAACAGATAGATTTTCTTTCCCATCAAAGGAAGACATATAGTAAAAGGTGATTAAATACAAAATACTCACTGTTAAATGCAGTGCCGACATATTATATTGCAACATCAAAGCTTGTCAGTTTATCAAAGCAAATCTGACCTTAATATTAAAAACATTAATGAATAAGCAGTTGATTAACTTATTCTGTGCCATAGCGTAATACTAAGTGTCCACATCAAGTCTTCTATTTCTCTTCTAAAAGAGAACGTACTGAACAAAATTATGGTCTACCAAAAATTTAAAGCCAGCAACTAAGACCTGGAGAAAATATTTACTGATGTGATAAAAACAAGTCATTCAGTCTTCTTTTTGCAAATCTTCCCCGGGGACCGACTGTCACATTTGTCTAGGTTAAATGCATTTTGTTTCAAATAATCTATGGATAAACATGCAGTGCAGGTAAAGTTACATCCCACTACAGTGGCATACACACATACATGTAAATCGAATGTTTGGATAATTAATAGAGCCCAACACTTGGTGCTCCAGGCAGTTCTCCAGGCGGCAATCCAGGGGCATCACGCAGTTTGTCTGTTATGGCATACATGGTGCAGTCCCTAACGTTGTTTCAACACCTGCCAGGTCATAACTACCATTGTTAAATAAAATCGGTATAACAGAAAACAGTGCCATAACGTACACACAGAAACACAAACTCCATGAATTTCCAAGTCAGAGACCGGCGACTAACGCAAATACTGGAACTTGTTTTCAGGAATTGCACTTTTTTTTCACCAATATGTGTTGATAATATACTACTTCCTACTGTGTTTAATACACTAGTAAAAAAAAAAATAGCACAAAAGAAGGAGAAAGAATAAGTTAAGGCAGCAAACAACGTGGATCAAATTTGATTCGTACTTTAAAAATTCTTAGATTATACACATTTCTGATTCAAACGAAATGCAACAGTATTTGATTAATTTATTTGGAAAAATATATATTTGAAATCAATTAACTGCTATGTGCTAAAGCCAACCCTAATATACAAGCCCTCTCATAGCTTTGCACAGTGAACCATATTGTCCACTCTTGATCTTGACAGCTGCCCTAGATTAAAGTGTATACTCATGAAGTGCAAAAACACAAGTTTAGGTGCATGGGGCTTAGGAGTATTTTAGTATATTATTTCGTTTCATAATCTCAAATATGAGCATTTCCTTTCTTTTAACCTTTAAAACAATTAAAGGTAATTTATAGAGACATTGATAAAACATCGACAAATATATTTTCCTTCTCAGTCCGACTGCACAAGCCAAACTATAACCTTCACTTACTCTGTACAAAAAATCGCAACTTAATCAAACACGGCATTAAGCACTCAAAACAATACGTTACAAATGGAATTTAGTGAAATCCTATTTAGGCTGCCTTGTCAACAACATGACGAGCTGACTGACGCAATCACCAAATGAATGGTGAGGGACTGTGGACTGATTAATATTGTTGAGGATAAGGGCTTCACCCACATTTTTAAGTTCACCTCTCAACGTGTTGTACAAGCCTCATCAAGATGCAGATGACTAAAATCCACCAACCCTATACATGGAAAGCAATGCCCAATTGTTTTACTTCTGCTAATCTGTGTTGACGTTTTCAATATTCATTTTACCATCATTTAGATTAGTCAGAGCAACTAGGGACTAGGGATGTCCAGTTCAATATTAACTTTTTGCCGATATATCCGAGATGCCGATACTGTCCAAACACTTAATTTCCGATATCAACCGGTACCGATATATGCAGTTTTTATTATCGGTGGTAAAACCGATAGCTACTCTGCGATCAGCAGGACTTTCACGTGTAACCTTACGAGTCTGTAGGTCGAACCCCCCGATGCTTGACCTACATATCAACAGCCAACAGGTAGCTACTTCATCCTTTGGCATTTAAATTGTACAATTTTGAAAAAAATATATATATATTGTCAAATTTAGAAATATTAATAACCATTTGACCTTCTTTATCATCAATATATACATAGACCATTAGCATAAAATCCTAAAACCAGTGTTCTTCTGAAAATAATTATAAGCATACCACAGTCCAGAAAAAAAATGTCTGACACGATTACAAGAATTAATGCTTAACGGAAGGCAAAGCATTAGTATCAGCAAATATTTAAGATTTCTTCTTCTTCTTTTGTATTTTCTAAATTGTTAAAAAATACTAATAATATCTGTTTAAATATGTTCTTACTGCACACACGTCTATCACCAGTGCCTTTGTTGGTTGTTTTACAAGGACAAGGTATGGATACATCTGCATCTATGTATATATGTATATATTAAGGATGTCCCGACACCAGTACCAGTAACGACACTAGCATATCCATACCAATAAATAGTACCATACTTAAAATTTCATTCATATAGCCTTCTCGAAAATGTTTTCCGATCCAGCGACTCGATGCTCAGGGTTGCCAATGAGTCAACCGTGATTAGCGCTGGGTATCACCGTGGTACTTCGCAATGCGATACCCATAATGATACTTCGCCCTCAGTAATGATAATATCGGCATAGTGAAATTCTGCGACAATTAACATATTGCGATAAATTTCATCCACGATACATCCCGGTATCTGTGTCACTGAAGACACTCAATGAATGTATTCACTGCACTGAATCCATTTCACCTGAATAACATAGCCATTCATGTGAACATTTGTGAAACAGTTGAACAAAGTGCATACTGCATACTGCATACTCCATTTTCCGCCCACTTTTTTTGAATTATTATAATGGACAAAAGTCTGGAAAAATATATATATACATATATATATATAAAAGTATAAATCCAAATTTAGCTTCGTAGAGTTGGTGGATTTTAGTTGTGGATATGTGCATCTCTTGTGAGTGGCTTGTAAACTCGTGGAGAGTTGCCTTCATAATTCAATGAGCGCAAGAGTGAGAGAGGAACATTGGAGAGAGAGTGAAGGAGACAGAGAGATAGAAAGTCATCCAATAAATGTACCTCTAATTGACCCTTGCCCACTATTGGCCCTCATGTTCACATGAAAGAGTCGGGTAGATTTTTTTTGTTTCCAAACGCAGATATACAATTTGTCCTTATTTAGCCATATATATATATAAATATATATA